CACCCCATCCCTCAATACAACAACCCATCTCACAATACAACAATATATGGAGATTGATTCAGAACAGATTCAGTGTAAATAAATCATGTCAATAATAATAAAACTATTTGTGGCTTAAGGACAGTGGTCAGTTGTGAACAAGCCATGGGGTATGGGGTCAACATTTGGATGGTAAACTTATTTATGCACTAACTGTAGCTTACACAAATATAAGTCAATGGTGGGGGGTATAATCCTTGTAACCTACTATTGTGGCGTCACGTAAAAGGGCCTGAAATGTGTTTGCTCCATTCCAACTTTCAATCAGACGTCTATGGTTCCTGAAATTCTATTTAAACTATGTGTTTGATGACGACACTAATCGCGGCATTTTGCTTTATCACATAAGGCTCTTCGCGACCAATGACATCATCAAACACTTAGTTTAAATGGAATTGCAGAAACCACGTTTGATTGAAAATTGCAATGGTGAAAATTGATGCTATCAGTGTCCCCGATACACATATTTTTTTTTAGAAAACCTTCATAATTCCCTACTGCTCACACGGTGCTATTAAATAATGTAAGAATTGTGCCTGTAGCGGACTTCAATATGTAATTCAAATTCTAAAATAGTTTGATATTTGCCATACGTAAATATATAACAATGTACATCTGGTATAATGACCACAGAAAACTTCATTATGCATTACTCCGTAGCCTACTTCGGTGTATTCAGATGATATTTTTCTTCATGTAAAATTACTAAATATTAACACCACAACCCTGCCTGTGTCAGTGCCTTTTTTGAGTAGTGACTTGCTTTGTTTTCATTTTCAATCATGTACCGAGTTGTATTGCTGTCTGCTATGCCAAAAGATGCCGTAGGTTCGAATCTTCCTCAAGGTAAAAACAATTCTGATGCCTGTGCAAGTGCTTGCGGTAGTCGACTCGGTGTCGACGTTCACCCCGTCCTAACCATATATAAGGTGTAAAACTCGTCTTTCCTGCATTAACTATTTAAAGTTGACACAAAATTGTCCAAATGAGAAACTATATAAATTGACATAGACAGACTGTCCAGCAAGTGACAAACTATATAAAGAGGATTGTGAATTATAAATAAAAACAACCCCCGAGGTAAAACTTGAAAAATATTGTAATTATTTTTATGACGCCTACTTTAAAATGTGACATACTTTATTGATATGAATCATAAAACTTTCTCCGTTCAAAGCATTACTTGTATCTACGGGCATGCAATGTAAACCCAAATACCTTTTCTCAAGCGCTCGTAAAATTTTATCTTTGTAAGCACACTCCCGTCTTCATTAGCCCATAATATGGCGCAGAAAATTAGGACGTAAAACTCCATTCATTTCATTTCATTTGTAAGCACACTGCTTCACAAGCTGAAATGTTCAAACGCCTATGCCTACTGCCATTCTGTGATTGTGTTAGTTAACTGAACACTTAGAGAGTCTCCGTACCCGACCTCAGAACAGGCCTATAGCAACAGGGTGACAAAAGGAGAGAGAGCAAGGCTCCCGAAAAATGGATATATTACTTACCACTCCGAACAATCAGTCTGGCTACGGGCCTGTCATTGAAATATGATTCGGTACCGGATTTGCACTTGACTACAAAAATAACTTGACTTTTACAATCTCGTTTCATAGCCCATAAAGTATACTACAGAAATAGTTTGGATATAAGATTAGTCATGCTCGTATAACTTACCAACCATCTTAAATCTTTTACACTAAACTAGTTAAAGGGACAGATGCGCCATTTTTAAGACGAATCATACTTCAGTCTCAGAAACGGGAATTTTTTTTTAAAGCTAAGCCAATCAGTAACAGTGTTCACTGTCGAAATTTGAGCCTTCAAATCCATGTATGTCCAGAATTATCCACTTCTTAGAATTTTCCTTCACTATGTCTGTACATTGATTTTTTTCAATAAAGTCTGGCCTATTCTTAAGCAGTATAAGTTTATGGGATTTTCTTCAAGTTTTAAGAAAAATTGTCCCCGTGACGTCACTAATCGCGAAGGGCCTTAGTGACATCATCAAACACTGAGTTTTAGTGGAATTGCAGGAACCGCAAACGTCTGATTGAAAATCGGAATGTTGCAAAATCAGTATCGTATACACATGAAAAATTTAAAAAAACCTCTTTATAATTCCTTTAAGAAGAACACTCCCTGTAATAAAACATTAGCTAAGAATGTGTCAAAAACAAAATACATAGAGTTATATTGATTTAAGAACGTTATAATAGACTACACGGCATATTAAAGGGGTATTCAATTGGTGTCGTACTTTGATGGTACTTTCGCTTTAACCATGCCGATGCAGCACATGCCTTATAATACAAAACAGTGTTAAGGTAGAACCTCTATGAGTGTGTCAAGTTAGGTCGAAGTGGGATTAGGGTCGTCCGATATTATAGAACTTTCTTACTTGAACATTAAAGGGATTGTAAAGAGGTTTTGTATGTGTATCGGGGACAATGATAGCATCGATTAGCGCATTCCAATTTTCAATCAGACGTCTTTTGTGCCTGCAATTCCATTCAGAATAAGTGTTTTATGAGGTTACCCCCACAAAGGTGTTTATATGTGATACAAATTGTGCGGGGTGACGTCTTAAATCCCCGATATGCATCAAAAATTTAGAAAAAAATCTTTGCAATACTTTTAACATTTAAAGCATTGTCCAGTCTTCTCATTTTTCTTAGAGCAAATCTTTTTCAACGCATGTTATTACATGCATAGACCGGCCATTTGGTAGTGTTTCACATGGATGCCTTTATCCCTGTTGAAACACGTTAGATTTTTTGGTCTTTACATGATTATGTCGTTTTAGAAAATAAAATAATAAAACATTTCCTCTGTGAAAACGCCTCAAAACTTAAGTTACTATTACATAATAGTCAATAATTGCATTATGTGTTTAAGATTTTTTGTATTATCTGTTTAGTCTTTTCAGAATTTATATTGTTGTTATTTCTCTTGAACGCAGCGAAGTACATTTATAGTACCATTTCAATTTAATATTAAAACTCAAATTGATAATTGATGTAATAGAAGTATGTTCTCTTATTGTGACCTTGGCCAGTGCTTCTATAGGAGAATATCTTCTAAAACACCCAACAAAAACTTTACAGCCTACTGTACAAAAAGGAAGAAAATTGTTTAGAATACACAATGACTTACAAAAGCTCACCGAGGAAAAATACAGTCCTGAAAAAAGGTATCATATGAATTTACATTACAACTGGTTTGTAACAAAAACACACCTGCGAGCTTGTCACATATATAAAATTCCAATGCATAAAACGACCTGCTGCAAAATGAGCCTCACTTACCTTCCGTTAATAAATACAGTTTTAATCCTTTTGATTAATCCTTAATCCAAAGTCCTGATTAATAAATCCAATATTATCTTATTCATTAACTCCACATTTTAAGGTCCATATAGTAACTGCCGATCTTCCGCCGTCCCAATTTTGTTGTCGTGTGATAAGCCAAGCGTGGTGTATGACCCTACAATAGGTCAAATTGTCGCTCGTAGGTAAAGGAATGTGTAATTGGGCGGTGGTTTGAACGTTGTTATTGTATTAAAAGGTAAAACGAGAATGTTTTCCTTATGTCACGTTTAATCTGCCATGAGTTACTTCCCTTCGATAATAAGGGACGAATGCATTGCACATACAAACATGTTGCAGAAATGAAAATTAAAGTGCGAAACTATACTGTTATCAGCGCTAGCCTTCCGAGACTGGGGGTACAAATAGAGGATAGACCAGTGGCGGAGCTAGCCCCCCAAAACGGTTTCCGCAGAAATAATATTTGTTTTTAAATCTTGTTTTTATTCTGAATATTGCTCGCCATCGACCCATTAAGAAAAAATTACAATTTACCGTTATGAGTTACTTCCCTTTGATGGTAGCGGCCGAATTTTATAATCCCTATATAGCGTTTCTGATCTATTCGACACCCGTCATTATAAGTTTTCCAAATGCTTGCCGAGTCATCAATAGATCGTTTGAGAGAACAATGACAGGTACAACCAATCGAACACATCGAAATGTCTTCTCCCTCCTCCGTGCACGTGCAGTTGTTTTATCATAACACGTGACTAGTGAGGTGTTCGTTGTTCCATTCATTGTACTTAGGTAAGTTGATACATTTTAACTTCAATTTGTCTCTGATATATATTTTAACATTTATTGGCAGGAATAGTCATCTAAGTCTATTCCCGCCTCTGATTGGTATTTTGACAGTTATTAGCTTGGGTAGTCCGAAACATCTACTTCTTTTTCAGCCTCTGATAGATATCTTAACAGTTATTGGCTGGGATAGTCCGAAACATCTTATATGACTTATATGGCTCTGTTTCTGGTTCAAAATAGGATCTAAATCAAATTGTATAAATTCTTAAAATCACGTGATCATTTCTTAGATAGAAATGACTACATGTAGTCTTATAAAATCGTAAAAACGTATCACATCTCCTATTTTATTTACTTTTTTCAATGTTAATCTTTCTGGAACATAATTTAGACCGTGGGCATTGTAGAACGCAGATTGTAATCTTTGGAACTTGACCACTGAGTTGTATCAGTTAGACCACGTGACATTTTCTGCATAACATTATCATTCGCGTTTCTAATGAAAAATAAATTTGGTTGGAAAGCAGCTTATTCATAAGGCAGTTAATCTGTTAAAATTTGCTTTAATTCTAAACTAATTTGAAGGGATATTTGGCTTGCAACGCTTCATTATAGATGCCAAATTCTATTTCAGAAAATGATGATCCGTCTACTTTTACTCACAGTAAGTAATTTCTATTCAATAAGATACAATGCTATAATTCTTGTGAGCCATTTAACTTGAATTAGAATTTTTTGTAACCTGAGCTGTGAGCACCAATTTATTTTGTGATTCTGTGCAACCTTCCAACAGTCAATTTGAAAAATGAATTGTAAATTACTCGCTCATTGTTCAATACGCTGGATTTGGTGTATTTAGTTCCAAATCGGCTGTCTTGATGTAAACCTCAAAAGTAGTCCTCATGAATAATTGCCTAAATGAACGCTTGCTTTCTGAATGTGAATATAAAACTTAACTGTCTTCATAACAATTTTTTTTCAGATGGCAGTGGTTGGAGTATGGAGTTTATCTGTAGCCCCATTGCTTGACAGTTTGATTGAAGGTATTTTCTTTTCCTTTCCAAACCACAGTATAAAAAGATTATACTTAATTCAATGTACAAAAAACGTTATATGAACTATAAGCTTGGCCCAAATGAGTCTTCATTGGACTTCAGTGGACTTACCTGTCACAGTTATGCAACAGAAACCCTCTATAATCTAATAAATCCGTAAAACTAAGTAATAATTCATTAAACTAAGAAATTTTGAACATGCTAAGAAGATTTTGATGAAACTTGATGTGAGTGTTTATAATCACCCAAGTATGAATCCTATTGAAAATCACAAGAATCGAAAAATATTTAGATATTGACCATGTTTTTTAAAACTCGTTCAATTTTTAGCTCTTTTTTAATAAATACTACAAGGCACAATTCTTGCAGGATTTTGACTAAACTTTGTGATATTATCAAGTATTACCTCAAAACGTTCAATATTTCAAACTGATACTGTATTGTCAAATATTTTTATTTGAAAAAGTTGCTAGTGGGCGTATATTACCTTGTATCTTTAATACAAAACTTTATATGCAGAATCTCTTCGTATTTCTCTTTATATTCTATACAAACTATACTGTAATTTTAGTTTCTGTGGACTGTGGTGAAAAGGTCGACAATGATCCCGTTCTCAAGATATTAACTGACGTCGACATTTTAGCGAAGGCCAAGTGTAATGGCGGTGATCAGGAATTTACTTCTACAGATTCGGTTCACTATGCACTTCCAGCGGCTACCAGCACTAAAGGCAATCGGTGTCTTTTCTATGTAAGTCTTAAAAAGAAATATTAAAGGGATTGTAAAGAGGTATTCTAAAATTTGTATGTGTATAGGTGACACTGATATAGAAAGCGATATTGCTAGTTTGAGATATATTTGAAGGAATTGTGCTATTTTCGTACATTACTAGTAGACTATTTACTTATACTCAAGACTTAAATCAAAAACCGAATATGCCGAATTCGTTCCTTTTTATACGCCCACATAAAATGGGGGGCGTATATTGCCTTCACACATGTCCGTCCGTCCGTCCGTTCATAATTGCACGTAAACACTCTACAAGACACAATTCTTGGCGGCTTTTGACAAAACTTAATATGAGTGTTCGTTCACCCAGCCAAATATTTTTATTCAAAATCAAAGCTGCCAGTGGGCGTATATTACTTTGCCTAGCAAGCTATCTTTAAACAAGGTGGCCAATACAGACAAGATATTAGACGCAGTTCGTAAGAACAAAACGTAGTCTTATGCCACGCTTAGAGCTGTGCATGGGTCTAGTTTGATTTTAATTAGTATTTTGGCAATTTTTCAGCAACTCTATAGGCCGTCAGCTTCGTGATTTTTTTGAAGAATATTTGTCGATCCAAACAACCCCCTATTTTTTCCTTATAGCCGTAGATTGTGGACCCCCACCAAAGCCATCAGGGGAAACGGTAGAACTGTTTGTTGATAGTACTACTGTTGGTTTTGATGCGGAATATGAATGTCGTATAGCACATTATGTCATAGAGGGAAGTACTTGGAAAACTTGCTTGGAGTCTGGAGAGTGGAGTAATGATAAGGATTTAATTTGCAGCCAATATCAATGTTAGTTAAACTTTCAATACTTCTCGCCCTATCTTCGAAATGAAGATGTTCTCGCCCCTTATAAGTGGGTATTCAACGACTAAGTAAGTTCACCAATGTGCTCAAGCACTGGATTTTGATTTTCAGACTTTTAGCGAGTTGCGTTCATCATACCTCTGAAGAAGGCAGTTGGATGTGAAACAAAATATTGAAAACTCACAAACTTAAATGGATTGTTAAGAGGTTTTCTAAATTGTGTATGTGTATTGGGGACACTGATAGCATCAATTTGCACCATTTCAATTTCAAATCAGACGTCTGTGGTTCCTGCAATTTCTAATTTTGAAACATATTATATCCTGTATGTTCGATAGACAATTCAATAATTCACGAAAGAAATATTTGATTTTTAATTGTAGTTTTAGGTTGTATTGCTAATGCTGCTGATGACTTCATATCAGACGCTGTCCAAAGTCCAATGCAACAATCCGAATGTAATGATCATTGCCGAGGTATGACATTTTATGTCTCATGTAGGTCCGTAACCAAGCTTGATTGTCCACTGGGGGAAGGAGGCGGGGAGGGGGAGGGGTCAAGTAATATTTCCGGAAGGGCAATTTGTTCATTAGCTGCGGTGACGACATATGTATGCCTATGCATTTATTCCATTAATAATTAAGAATCAGATGTATTTTGATTTTTCAGAAAAATGGTTTACTATGTTTGTGTGGAGGAATGATAAATCATGTGGTTGCTTAGACTATACATTTGAACCCTATGTGGTTGATTGCGAAGAGGCGTGCGATATAGTTCACCCCTGTGGTACGACAGAACCTAATTCTGGAGCGGCCTTCGTTGTCATCTATCCGGACGGTAATTCTTTTTTTTTTAAATAAAAACTTACGATATAGACGAATTCACATGTGATTTGACCACCAGAATTTTATTGAGACATATAGACTTGGGATATGAATACGAGACACGCGATTTGCTGTAACGGTAGTCGTCCGAAACGTCCGCCTCTATTCCAAATTTTCATACAGACGTTTGTGGTTCCTGTAATTCCACTAAAACTAAGCGTTTAACAACGTCACTAATCGCGAGGAGCATTTTGTGGTAGAGCATAATTTGCGATAAGTGACGTCATCAAACACTTAGTTTTAGTAACTTTGCAGGAACCACAGACGTCTGATTGAAAATTAGAATGGTATAAATGGATGCTAGCAGTGTAATCGATACATATACATTTTTTAGAAAGCGTCTTTGCGGTTTAATCTAATGTTCTATTTGTAGTTATAGGATACCAGGAAGCTTGTTTAACTGACCAGGAAACATTCGAACCAGATCCAGAAGGTGATGGTGATGTCTCGATCTGTAGACTAATGTGTGTAGCTTATGGTGAGTAATTCTTTAAAGCAATAATGCCTCTTAGACTTAGAGTGGACCATTATATTCATCAGTTGAACTTATCAGGTGCCATGACTAAAGAATAGAATCTCTATATAAGACTAAGTATCTATTGAAAAACGCTTCTAAAATTGTTCACTATTATTAATTGTATGGATTATAACTTAGGTTTCATGGATTTATTGAATTATAGAGGGATTCTGTTGTATAGTTTTGACACTAGGTTAGTCTACTGGTAAACAAAAACTCAATTTGACCAAGTTAAAAAAATTCAATGTGTTGTTCATCCTAAGAGGAAGTATACCTTTAATGACAAAGTATTCTATAAATCTATGGGTATCCAATGACGCAAATTGAATACTAAAGTACCCCCTTTAGGTTACCTGTGTTCTTCGATTCTAATCCCAGGGTGGTACCCGTCTAGCTTACCTGTGATCTTCGATTCTAATCCTATGGTGTTACCCCTCAAGGTTACCTGTAGATTACATGTGATCCTCGATTCTAATCCCAGGGTGTTACCCCTCTAAGTTACCTCTAGGTTACCAGTAATCCTCGATTCTAATCCAGTTTGGTACCCCTCTAGGTAACCTGTGATCCTGGATTCTAATCCAGGGTGGGCCATGCCCACGATGCCCGTCGTTATTAACTCAATCTGGACCAGAAACTTTCATTTCATTTCTTTGTAGGATCGAAATTTATGGGGTTTTTGTGCAGTGGAAGCTGATATGACTGCTACGGTGGAACCTTCAGAATGTCGATCTTGTGAGTCGGATTCTACTGCGAAATGTGGATCTACACTTACCAGTTACAACCATGTAAGTACATGTTGGCATGGCTATTCACTGGCAATTCCGGGATGAAGTGATCTAAATTCAAAAACACATTCAGGTAGATCGAAACATTTGACTCAACTCTGGTAGCTATTTTGAAAATTGTAGTCTGGTGTCGAGACAGAAATATTAGGCCCTGTTTTATGGATATTTCCGCACCTTCGACGGATTTGATCATGTTTAATTAAATCGGATCCACCAAACCTTAACATATTTGAAAAGATGTATATTATACTATAATTATTCGGTTTCATCAATTTTTTTTAACGAAACGGATCTCTCGTCTGCCATTTAGCACAGTGTTCGCAGACAAAAGTTCAAAGGCCACAAGTCATCGTGGGAGTAATCTAATATTATGTTAGAAAAACGCATCTTCGGAGGTGAGGAAAATCCTCATGAAACAGGACCAAGTATATCTGACTATACTCCAGCCGAAAACATTCAAAATATCTATCAGAGGCTTGAATTGAGATAAGATGTATCGCACTAACATTCAGCAGTTTCGCTCATGAACATTTTTTGTGGGATCACACATTTGACGCACATTGGGATCCTTCTCATCCCATTATGGCTCACTAAGCACATTTTTCCAACTCCATTGTAATGAATACAATTTGTTATTTTTTCAGAGCAAAACGAGTATTCAGAGTTCAAATATAAAGACCAAGACTTTTTTTCAATTCTTCATCCTAGGATCATGAGAGAGTTGAAGTGCGTGAGGGGGATAATTGAAAGTTCCAGGCTTCGATTTTGGCATTAGTCTATGTAACTTCAATTTTGCCATTTAGTCTAGTCAAAATATAATACAAATACACCCGAACCCAAAAAATTGCAAGAAATTGTTTTATTGTGTTGTTTTGTATTACAAGGGGTGTAGAAAAATCCCGTCACCAGAACGGGTCCAAATTTTGGGTTAAGAAAAACATGACGTCAGTGCCTTAAAAACTATGGAACTATGTCAATATTGACACAAGATCACGTGATTCTGGTAATTTCAATATCAGAGACTGGTCGTTCAGGACTACGAGTAAACAAAGACAATGAAAACAAAGACTTCGTATGTATGGATTATGTACTGATAATAAAATGCATAATTGGTGAACCAAAAGCATTAAATACATAATTTAGTGACTTTTATTTATCCCAAAGGCTCTTGGTTTATGGATTAAATTTAGACAAATCACTGTTAAATACCGGAAGTAAAGAGTCTCGCCCAACAAGACACAACACAATTTTTCATTCATTAGTGAATCAGGTTTAGCTTTACGGAAACTGTCAATGATTGCCGAATGCTGCTAATAGTTTGATAGAACTATCAGATTTCTCCATGGTTCTAGCTTGCGAAAAATTGTGTACAGCGTCCTGAGGTTTGATCTCGAGTGCCCTCATTTGACACGTTAATAGACTAAAAGAACGTTTGGTCAATATTGGTTGTAACATTTTCTTTAAAAATCATTATTTCAGGATAGGTAGAACAACCTAATACGGGCCACAATGGCCGGCATTTCCTGTATTTCTTATAATTTTGCCACTAGAAAACCTGCATACAAAATGCCTGTAAATATATGCCTTAGGAATTCCATAAAATAATTACTGTTCAATTTCGAAATACACAAGCTAAAAAAATCAAATCAATCCCCAAATCCAAAATGGTCATCATTTTTATCTCAATGTATTTTTTTGACGTACTTGATCAGAGTTCCGTACCTTTAATCACAATGTCTTCTTCTGGCTTTGTTCCGTTCAAACAGGATTTGAATTTAAACCTTTGCGCTTTTTCATCTGTAGTTACTGCAATGCCTTTGGAACTTTTACAACGTACGTTGTGAGGTGCCCTTTCCAAAGGAAATATACCTAGTGTTTCTAAGTTTTTTAACTGTAAGTTGAACCAGTGGAAAGTAACATTAAGAAACTCTTCAAGATAATTTTTTACCATAATGAAAGTTCTTATATTTTCAAAATCTCATGTTTTTGTCTGTGTAATTTCTGTCACATCATAGTGTGTTCATTTTGTTTTATGATTCAAATGAAACCGTAACATTAACATTTTGAAGGTAGGTTTTCTTTTTTTACAATCTCTCCTGTATCCGTTGTCAATGGCAGCAGCCATTTTTTAACCTCGGATTACACTTAAGTACAGGGCGACACAGATTAATAATTATTTCTTCAGACCACAATAATATTGAAATTATCTCCCTTGATACGCAAATACTATTGAGCAACACAGCACGTGCAAGACGATAAAAATGGATACTCAAGATGATATGAAATTCATTATAGATTCCTGTGTATTGATCGTTATAAAAAATGTTTTACAATAGGTCAGTTAATTACATTTTAACCGATTTTGAGACTTTGGTCTGTTAGCATGGATATCATGACATAGCCTATTGAGTAATATTTTCAATTTCATAAAAGCGTAGTCCGAACTGTTCTGTTCTCTTTCGTATTGATGTTTGTCAACTGTATTCATCTTTTTATTATGATTTATTTATTCACACATTCGAATTTAAAGAAACGCGTTTTGACAGAATGAGATGAGTGAATTTCTTTCAAAACGAAGATGTTTTGAAAATCTTGAAAAGAACATAAGAAATATTCGGAAACGTTTTAACCTCACCTTTTATTTTTGTTCATTTATTCATGCATTCATTCATTCTTTTAAAGGATAAATTACTTCATCTTCCATTTTACACATTTAAGAAATATAAATCGATATTCATTCATTCATTCATTCATTCATTCATTCATTCATTCATTCATTCATTCATTCATTCATTCATTCATTCATTCATTTATTCATTCATTCATTCATTCATTCATTCATTCAAAGCTGCACGAAATGTGCTTATACTCAAATAAATTGTTATCTTGAAAAGTTACAAAGCTACAAATCTGAAATTTGGCACACATATGAACCTGGACCCGCAACACATTAAAAAATTAACTGAGAAATCTCCCATAGGGAAAAAGTTAGCCCCGGAAAAGTTGCCGATATTCGGCTCTTATAGGCCATATAGACAGAAAATGTGCAATAGCTAACTTTGCCAAATAAACCGATTTGGCCCATATTATAGGTTTTTCCTACTATAGGCCATATATACGGAAAACGTACAATAGCTAACTTTGCCAAATATACCGATTTGGCCCATGTTTTGGATTTTTCCTACTAATTAGACCCCAGGGAGTCGGAAACACACTTAAAACCGAATTAAAAAACAATTAGAGAAGAAAATAGAATTTGTTTAGTTACAAGGGACTACTGCACGAAATGTGCTTATACACAAATAAATTTTTATTTTGAAAAGTTACCAAGCTACAAAGCTGAAATTTTACACACATATGCACCTGGGACCGATACACATTTAGAAAAAAACAGAACTGAGAAATCTCCCATAGGGAAAAGTTGCCGATATTCGGCTCTTATAGGCCATATAGACGGAATACGTGCAATAGCTAACTTTGCCAAATAAACCGATTTGGTCTATATTTTAGGTTTTTCCTACTAATTAGACCCCAGGGAGTCGGAAATACACTTAAAACCAAAACAATTAGAGAAAAAATAGAATTTTTTTAGTTACAAGGGACTACTGCACGAAATGTGCTTATACACAAATAAATTTTATTTTGAAACCTTACCAAGCTACAAAGCTGAAATTTGGCACACATATGCACCTGGGACCCTACACATGTGGAAAAAGACAGAATCGAGAAATTTCCCATAGGGAAAAAGTTAGCCCCGGAAAAGTTGCCGATATTCGGCTCTTATAGGCCATATAGACAGAAAACGTGCAATAGCTAACTTTGCCAAATAAACCGATTTGGCCCATATTATAGGTTTTTCCTACTAATTGGACCCCAGGGAGTCGGAAAAACACTTAAAACCGAATTAAAAACAATTAGAGAAAAAAATAGAATTTTTTTAGTTACAAGGGACCACTGCACGAAATGTGCTTATACACAAATAAATTTTTATTTTGAAAACTTACCAAGCTACAAAGCTGAAATATGGCACACATATGCACCTGGGCCCCCTACAAATGTGGAAAAAAACAGGACCGAGAAATCTCCTATAGGAAAAAAGTTAGCCCCGGAAAAGTTGCCGATATTCGGCTCTTATAGGCCATATAGACGGAAAACGTCCAATAGCTAACTTTGCCAAATAAACCGATTTGGCCCATGTTTTGGGTTTTTCCTACTAATTGGACCCCAGGGAGTCGGAAAAACACTTAAAACCGAATTAAAAACAATTTGAGAAAAAAATAGAATTTTTTTAGTTACAAGGGACGACTGCACGAAACGTGCTTATACTCAAATAAATTTTTATTTTAAAAACTTACCAAGCTACAAAGCTGAAATTTGGCACACATATGCACCTGGGCCCCCTACACATTTAAAAAAAACAGAACTGAGAAATCTCCCATAGGGAAAAAGTTAGCCCAGGCAAAGCTGCCGATATTCTGCTCTTATAGGCCATATAGACGGAAAACGTCCAATAGCTAACTTTGCCAAATATTCCGATTTGGCCCATGTTTTGGGTTTTTCCTACTAATTGGACCCCAGGGAGTCGGAAGAACACTTAAAACCGAATTAAAAACAATTAGAGAAAAAAATAGAATTTTTTTAGTTACAAGGGACGACTGCACGAAACGTGCTTATACTCAAATAAATTTTTATTTTGAAAACTTACCAAGCTACAAAGCTGAAATTTGGCACACATATGCACCTGGGCCCCCTACACATTTAGAAAAAAACAGAACTGAGAAATCTCCCATAGGGAAAAAGTTAGCCCAGGCAAAGTTGCCGATATTCTGCTCTTATAGGCCATATAGACGGAAAACGTCCAATAGCTAACTTTGCCAAATATTCCGATTTGGCCCATGTTTTGGGTTTTTCCTACTAATTGGACCCCAGGGAGTCGGAAAAACACTTAAAACCGAATTAAAAACAATTAGAGAAAAAAATAGAATTTTTTTAGTTACAAGGGACGACTGCACGAAACGTGCTTATACTCAAATAAATTTTTATTTTGAAAACTTACCAAGCTACAAAGCTGAAATTTGGCACACATATGCACCTGGGCCCCCTACACATTTAGAAAAAAACAGAACTGAGAAATCTCCCATAGGGAAAAAGTTAGCCCAGGCAAAGTTGCCGATATTCTGCTCTTATAGGCCATATAGACGGAAAACGTCCAATAGCTAACTTGCCAAATATC